CAGAATAGAGGAGGGCTGAATATATTATGACCCCTTTGCTAGCCATATGGTCTACTCTAGTTCCCTCTGTTGCATGTTGGACCATTTAATACCACAAAAGGCAATGCAATTCCTGCCTTCAGATCTCAGAGCAAGAACTTCTGTGGATTGTCTCAGTGGAAATGCATTCAAAGAGACGCTTAAACAAACCAGCTCTTCTCAAGAACAAATTCCTGACAGCCTGAGAAACTGCCAGTTATGTGTCATAAGATGTAAAAAAGGACTTGAGCAACTCAGCTCACACATCCTTTCTCGTGCTACACATTAAAGCTAAGGATGAGTCAGTACAGCTGAGTGGGAGAACCAGACAGGTCTGATTCACCACTTTTTCCTCATCTCTGAAGCACTATTATTTCCATGCAAATAATTTCAAGGCTCAAAGTTACAGAAGAAGCCCAGTAGTGGTGTTCACTAACCTCATACCCCAGAAGAAATTGACTGGTTAATGAAAATCCACAGCTGTTTCATGTTTAAAGACACTGATCTATGTAAAAGGAAATGAGCTAATTAATCTTAAAATTCTGGAAATTGAGAAGTATCTGAAGAGACAGCAAGCTTCATTTCAGGATTTCACTGAAGCTATATATTATTCAGCTCTTTCCCTTGTTGTTCAGACAGACGTATGAGAGGTTTGAGGAACTCAGCTGTGGAGTCTGACTGGATAAATGTTTAAAAAATCTGAAAAAGACCAGATTTTCTTTTAAGTACAGAGAAGTAAGAAAGAAACAGTGTGAGACCCTGCTACTCTTATCAGGTGGATCTTTGTGTTGAGTTGAGCAGGCTGTACAAGAGAAAGCTCTTGCAATAAGTGGGAAGATGCCTTCAAACAGATTCAGAAAGTAAATTGAGAATGTTTATTGACTAAGTGCTATCTGTCTCTGGGAAACCACCAACTTTCTGCATTTTACTTATGCCAACAGATGATGCATATTTTCATGTCATATATGCTTGATTGATTCTTTTATGCCTTTTATATCTAGTACTTTCAACTCAATAGCTACCTTAATAATAATAAAACTAAATACAAAAGATAAATAAAAGCTTTTAAAGTAATTAAATAAAATTAATTTAAAGAAAATATATTTTACATTATTAATTATTAAAAATAATTAAATAACATTAAGAACTCAAGGATTTCTGACAACAATATTTTCAACACTTATTTAAGAAGAAACCAATACAGTTGTACAGAAAGAATTTCATGCAATAGATGAAATTCAACTGAGAAGACAGTTTCAAATCTTTGCAAACAACTGTATCAGAATTCTGTAGAAGTGCTATTGAGTTGGGATTTCTCACATAAAGTTGGTAATATATTTAATATGTACCTTGTACAGTATAATGATCTGGAGCCACAAAACTCAACTGAAATATATAAAAGGATCAGAATTGTGACTGCAACACTTTTATTAGTTTCCTGCCAGTTTTTTTACAGAATTTAGATACAGAAAAAGGATGTATGAGACTTTCATGGGTTTCTTTGGTTTTTTTCCTATGTGCAACTTTGTTCTTGAAAAAAAAAAATCAAGAAAGAACAAAATTACTGTCTCTGTGAGAGAAATCTCTGTGTGCGTGTCTTCATTGAAGGAAGCTTTAGCAACCTTCACAACAAAATGCTGGCTCTCTTGACAAGACTGACAGGCTTAGAAGTGTAGAGGTCTAATATACAGAGTACCTGAGGCTTCATAGTTCAATACACTCAAAGAACCTTGGTCCTGGTTAGACACATCCTTCAAAGTGAGGGACTTCTTTGTTGTCTTAATCTTTTTTGTTTTGCACAAAAAAATCTTGCCTAGATATGCTACTACTTCAAATTAGAAGTAACTGATAACTGGAAGCACTAGTGATGTGTATTTGAGCAAAGATTCTGCTTTCATTCATGTTTGCAGTCACCTACATCATGGTGAGGACATAGCCTGGATTCCCAAATGGTCCTTCACTGGCTTCCCTCAGTCCTTCTGGGTGCTCATGAAGATAGGTAGGTGCAACATGGTGACCCTATTTCACACAATTAACTGAGAAAGATTTGACCTCGTTCCAGTACAGCAGTATGGGGTGTGGCCCCCAAAGTCCCAGCAGCAAATGAGGGGGAACACAGAGCTTCTGCAGATGCAGTAATTCAGGCTTGCTCAGAGGTTGACTTGGCTACTGCAATGTTGAGGGCCAGGTGCCATTTGCCAAATTTAACTCTGGAAACCTAACTGGGGAAAAAAAAAAAATTAAAAGTAATGCAACGAAAAATTCTTTTTAGGGAAACAATGGACATAGCAGAATGCATAATTTCATTCCCTAGTCCTTAATTCCCAGTTTGAATGCCTGAGTATTTCTCTAAACAGTGACCTTACACAGATCTTCATAAAGTGGCTTGTGCCTACTAAAAGTAACGAAAGCTATATAATGACTAAATAGTTACATAGCATCTATTTTTCTTTAACCTATTCAAACATATTTACCCTGTTCATGTAACCTGGCTACTTTCTTGGGGTTTTTTATTATGCACAGACAAGCAAATAAGACAAGACAGATATTCCAAATTGCTTGTCCTGGGAACACCCTGTATGAACAGGTTTGAATGTCTGATAGAGAGTTCCAAAGCAATCTTTGTATTTTAAAGAAAGGTAATACTCCTGCAGTTCTTTGACAAATGGATCTGGATTGTGTTTCAATTGTCAGAAGCCAAAGAGCATCCATCTCCTTCACTTCAGCATTAATAGCACATGGAAAGCAAATCATGTTTAACTCACAGCAATCCTTTCAGTGACTCTGCTTTTTGTAATGAAGAAGTGTTTGCTGTGAGATGGTGGCAAGAAAAAAAAACCACTCCACCTCTTTACAGAGTATGGGAAAAGACTGCTGGCTTCCAAGCCTAATTTTTTGAACACTGGTGGATTACTTTTGCAACATTGTCCTTGGCACATTTCCAGGAGTCTCATAAAGGAAAGGTTTTTAATTTCTTTTGTCTTTTCTTTTCCCTTCATTCTCTTCTCATTCCTTCCTCCCTTTCCTTCCTTACCCTTGTCTTCCTTTCTCTTAGGAGCTGGTAAAAAAGACAAAATGTGGAAAATCGTCTTTATCCTTACCTTTTAATCAGAAGCAGGAAGTTTCATAATTTTTCTACCAAAGAGTGAGTTAGGCTGTGGTGTGACCGTGTGGCACTCACAGGAGATACTGTGCTCTCAGACCAGCTGATCTGTGCACAAAGCCAGTGCAGAGATTCACCTCTGTGGGAACCAGCTCTGCACAGACCTGTGTGGGACCAATGGGCCACTCTTGGGCCCATCTGGCAGCCTCCAGGTTGGCAGGAGCGCAGCTCTGGAGGACCAGCATTCAGCCCAGACAGGGAAAAGGTGGGATGAGCAGGATCTGGCACGGGGCACTGCAGTGGTTCTGGAAGGTTTGCTCTTCTGGAAAGGGAGTTTTTACAAGGGCATATGGTGATAGGTGGGCTTAGATTAGATATTAGGAAGAAATTCTTTACTGTGAGCGTGGTAAGGCACTGGAATAGGTTGCCCAGAGAAGCCGTGGATGTCCCATCCCTGGAAGTGTTCAAGGCTAGGTTGAATGGGGCTTTGAGCAAACTGGTCTAGTGGAAGGTGTCCCTGCTGACGGTAGGGGGGGTTGGAGCTAGATGATCTTTAAGATCCTTTCCAACAAAAGCCATTCTGATTCTGTAAGTTGCATGCTCCGCACCTGCTGATGAAATCCCTGACATGCCTTCAGCAAACCAGGCGTTCCTGAGACAGACCTAGAGCACAGCACCAGGTCTGCAAAGGAGGCAGGATTCCTGCCCACAGTAAATGTAACTTTCTGTGCCTGGGCTGTTTGGTGCTCTGTCTGGGCTTCTGCCAGGCTTCCAGAGACCGTGGACAAACGCCATGGGCTGGGCAGCAGTAGCTAAAGCTTCCTAAGCCGCCTTAGCAAATCCATGGTTTTTTGGACTGTGTAAGTAGACCCATGGAGAAGGGGATTCTCATACTGATGCTTTGCTGGGGAAAAAAAAAAAAAAGAAAGAAAAAAAAAAGAACCAATGTAAAGCTGCAGAGGCGTGATATTTGTGAGGGAAATGAATGATCAACAGTCTGGGATGGGATGGGTGGTGGACATATCGGCTGGGAGTCCCAGGCGAGTGGCATGGGCATGGTAGGAGCCGGAGTCCGACCCCGCGCCCGGCAGGTGCCAGGGTTCGGTGCAGCTCCCCTCGTGCTCTGGGACATCTCCGCTCCGGAGAACCGTCTCAGAGGGAGACGGACCGCGGGGCGACGCACACGATCAGCTTACGCCGGTCTGCCGCCGTGGCTCTCCCAGCTCTCCCGTGCCTTTACCGGGGCGTGACTCCCTGACTCCCCATCACCACGGCCCTTCAGCGGTTCTGCCGTGGGTGAAGAGGCGGGGCGGGATATGCCTCCGGAGGTGCCCCGACACCCACCCGCCAGGCGGACGGCCAACCCCACGGTGCCTTGGGACCGCACCTGCACCGCGCCCCTCCTGCACCCCAGTGCTGCGGGGCGGGCGGGCCGGCGGCTCCCAGGGGGCGCCCCGCGGCGCCGGTGCCGCCGTCGGGGCGGTGCCGGGGCGAGCGGCCGCCAATGGTGCGGCGGGGGCGGTGCGGGCGGTGCAGGAACACTCGGGAGGTGACAGCGACGCACCGCCCTCCCGGCGGTGAGCGGGCGCCGGCGAACATGGCAGAGGAGAGGCGCTGAGCCCGCGCCGCCGGCCGGGGAAGGGCGGTCGCCCCCGCGTCCGCTGAGGGGAGGGCAGCGCCGGCGCCTCCGCGGGGGCGTGTGTGTGATGGTGCGGGCATGGCGGGGCAGCCGGCGGCCGAGGCGCTGCTGAGGCGGGGGGCGGCCGGTCCTGGCCCCGGCGGCGGCAGCGGCGATATCCAGCGGGGGCTGCCTCCCTCTCCCTGCTGAGAGAAGGAGAGAGCGGCTGGCCTCGCCGTGCCGTGCCGCCCGCCTCGCCGCCGCCATGCTGCCCGGGGTGGGGGTGTTCGGCACCGGGCTGACGGCGCGGGTGATCGTGCCGCTGCTGAAGGCGGAGGGCTTCGCCGTGAAGGCGCTGTGGGGCCGCACGCCCGAGGAGGCGGAGGAGCTGGCCAAGGAGATGAGCGTCCCCTTCTACACCAGCCGCATCGACGAGGTGCTGCTGCACCAGGACGTCGACTTGGTCTGCGTCAACCTGCCGCCGCCGCTCACCCGGCAGGTCGCCGTCAAGACCCTGGGTGAGTGCGGGGGGACCGGAGGGGCGACCCCGCCTCGGGCTCGGGGTTCGCGCTCGCCTCGGGCTGAATGGAATTGCGCCCCACCTCAGCGGGGAGTTTTCCCTTTGCTTTGCTCTCCTTTCCCTTCTTCCTTCCCCGTGTCTCTGGAGAGGGACAGGCCGAGGACCGGCGGGGCGCGGGCGATGGCGCTGCGGCAGCTCGGTGTGACATCCCGCATCCCCGGTCCCCGCCGACGTGGTCCCTGGCAGCGGGCACCCGCCCTTCCAGGATGCTCGGGCAAGCCAGAGCAGGGCCGGGCCTGACACCCAGGGCAGCGGGAGGAGGGAGCAGGTGTCATCCGTGTCGTGGAGAAAGTCGCGGTAAAAAAGGGAGAAAATAACCATCCCGCCCGCGTTTGGCCGGCGGTTTCCATCCGCCCCTGGCAGAGGAGCGGGGAGCCGAGCATCGCTCCCGCCGTGGGGACACCCGCGCTGCTGGGGGGGTCGGGAGTGCCGGCGCTGCCCCCGGCCCCGGGACCCCAGCTGGCAACCAGGGGGGAGGCAGGAAGCGGTGACAGCAGAGGAAACGCTGTTACAGCCGAGGCTTAACGAAGCTCACGTACAAAGGGAAGGAGGGACTGAAAAAGTAGGCATGCACTGTGGTGAGCGTCTCTGGTTTCAGGCGTGCCAAAGCGGGCCGCATCTCGCTTTCTCTTGTGTGAGCGCAAGTCCTGGCTTTACTCTTCCAGCCAGCTTCGTGATCCATGCTCCTCGGACGCTGGCTCTATCATGGGTTTTAGTGGGAGCACCCTTCGGATTAGAGAAGTCTTATTTTGTCCCTAGAATTATAGGTGGGAAGGGGTGAGAATGAGAGGAAAATGCTGCGAGTCGTCGTCGCTGCAGAGAGCGTGGAGGTTAACGAGCCAGGGTGGCTGGTTTGGCTCTGGGGCTACAGCTATGTAGGCTGATTGCTATCGCTTTCGGCCTCATAAGTGTGTGTAGCGTGTCGTAGTGTTACATTGCTACTAGCATACTCATTAGAATTAGTCACTATTCAAATGCTGCTAATATCGCAGCCAGCTAGTGTTTTCAACCTTTAAAATTAAGCAATTAGGGAAATTAAGGCAGTGCCTAAAGAAAAAATCCTGCCTCAAGTACAGTGTAGGCATTTGTCTGGAAGCTTTGCTCAGTGTTACTTTCTGTACTCGGAAATGCTTATCTTTGAGTCAGAACATTTGCTTTTCTTTTATATTGTACTTTAGACTTTTTCCTGAAGATACAGCACTTGCATCAGAAGCCTGACTTGCTTACCAGAATGATGTGCAGATGAATTTGTAGTGTAGAAATACATATACCAAAAAACTTATGTAAAGGACGGTAACAAGGTTTCATGTTTGACATACAATAATTTAGTGACAATTGTGTCAGTTTTCCTGTGACACTCTTTCCTGCAGGTGTTGCTCATGGAAGTGACCCAGCTTGCCTGTGCTCTCAGAGGTAGAGTCCCATGAGGTTTCAGGCAGAACAAAGGCATCTGGTAGAACAAAATTTCTGAAATAATAAAGAAATACAATTGGTGTGCTTTTTCTCAGAGGGCCAGACACACACGGCTAGCATAATAAAGTAATAATATGTTTTGTCCTTCTCTGAATATTTGCGGCTAAAAAAGAAAAAAAAATCTGTTCCCAGACATGAGCTGAATTTATGAATGATTTTATGAATCTGTGTAGCTGAGATGTTACTGATAACTCGCTGATGTAATTTGTTAGCAACAGACTGGAGCAGAAAAAAAGGTATTTCCTCACTGTTTATTGGTACAGCACCATTCTCGATTCTCTTTCACCTCTAGTCAATAGAGTTTTATTCCCTTCCTCAGTGGTCATTATTTTTATCTTGCAGGGATAACAAAGTTTGTGTAAAAATGCATGGCATGGTCATTAAACAGGGATTGAACAGGTTACAAGGTGATAATGTGCAACATGTGATAATTTTTTTTTAGTGTATTACTTAAGGGATTATTTACAGAAATATATCTTAGAAAATAAATAACTCTTCTCCCACTTATTTCAGAGGTAATTTTTTTTTAATATATGTATTGTATCTGTAACTTAGAAAGTTCTTGCATAGAGGTGCAAACAGGGACCTAGAGCAGTGGTTCCCAAACTGTTGAGAGGAATATCTCCCTGCTGGCAGCTCCATCTCCTGATCCTGCTTGTGGTTTATGGCTTGGTAACTGCTGTGCCCGGGAGTGTTTATTTTGCTTTATTTTTTGGTTTGAAGGAGGGAGTGCAGTTCATCAAGTGGGGGGTTCAGAAGCCTCTGGTAAGCAGGGACAATGTTGTATAGACTGAGCAAAGCGGAAGATGGAAAAGCATTACTTACTCTTGAAATTTCACGTGAGAAATATTATGTACCAGCTAGTGATGGGACATAAATGGTGATTCCAGATGTTTTACCCATAGATAGAGGCTTCAGGAGGTCTATACGTGATGCCCTGCATTGCAGTAGAAAAGGTTGAGGAAGACTCGAGTTACTTGTTAATACATGCACGTCTGGCTTCCCTATGACAGGATGCTTATCTTGCCTGGGAAGAGACAGGGACCAACTTGTCTTTTGTACCTGTGTTTTAATTTAAATTGTCTTGTTGCCCAAAGCTGTGCGCTCATTTGGTGAGGTTTCAATTACTAAAAAGTAAAAGCCCGAGGAAGCAGTTGGTGGTGTTTCCATCACCCATCTAGCGCTGTGTTTACACTGTGAATTTGCAGCATGTTAAGTCCACTCTGGCCTATTTCTGATGCGGACTCTGGAGGTAAAGGTGGAGTGAAACAGGTGTCTCTGCAGCTGTGTTTAACTCGGGCCACTCAGTGGGAAGGACTTGGTTGTTTTGTTTTCACTGATATGCCTGACATGTGGATGTATTGCTGCTTGAAAAGTGTTTTTGGCAAGGTGGCCCAACAACCGCTGTTGAAACAGATGTGTGAATACATGCCCCAGCTGAGGAAGTCCCCAAACTGTGGCTTCCTGGCAGCTGTTGAGGGGAGAAAATGGGAGAAATAAAACTATAAGCCTGCCCTGTTAACTTTTCCTCTAAGCCTCTGCTGCTCATATCTGCTAGAAACAGGTTCCTGAGCTGGGTCTGACTCTGTATGGTAGCTTTGTTAGGAGTGAGACCAGTGTTGGGCAAGTCTCTGGAACAGACTGAGTTCAAGAGAGAGTTGGAAATCAGGCTGGTTTGAACAATGACCAAAAGCACGAATAAAACCAGTGCCATTTTATGTGAAATACGCTGATGGCCTCTGTCACTTCTGTATGAAAGGAAACAAATTCCTTGTTTGCATATACAAAATGGCTCTGATTGTCCCTTTCCTGTCTCTAGTCTGTCCTGCTCACTTAGGAGCTCTTTTTTTTTTTTTTATTGCTTTGTATTTGTTCCCTGTAGAATAATACAAAACTCATGTCCTGACTGACTTGCTTGTTTGGTGGTCAAGAAAGATCAACGGCTGAATGTTTAGGTAAGCATAGAGAACAGTCCTACTGTTAAAAATGGGTGTTTTCCCTTCTCAGTGAACTGAAAAATTTGGCATGTTCGCTAGAAGTGGTCCACTTTTCCCCTGCCTGCGTGCATTGGCAATTCGGTCATATCCCAAGCCTGATCAGACATGGGAGATGTGTTTGCATACAGGGTCAAAATATGTCACCAGAATGCCTACTTGTGCTCAGTATCAGAAGGGTTGCTAGTACAGACAATATGATATGACCCTCCATCCAGTTCAAAACTGTCAACATAGGACTGTTCCCAGTGTAATCCCTCCCCCCTTAGTCAATTAAGTATGACATTCTTCAGATCCTGACTGAAACTGTTGCCCTGTGTGACTAAACAGCTGCCACATCAGGTGAAGTGATTTACTGCATGTGGTGCTGAGAAGGCCTTGGTGGCATTTCATCTTGAAGGTACAGATATTTCTACATGTCTGGTCCTGTTGGTTCTTGGGTCAGATCAACTTGGCTAAAGAGAACTTATTCCTGAGGTTCAGATAAGTGTTTCTGGGGAAGTGCTTTAGGGAAGAGTCAAGTACCAGATGTTTCTAAAGCGTATCTGGAGATGTTACCCTTAATTCTGTTTACAGTGGTTTTACTTACTCTTTCATCCTAAGTTAAGGGCAGGAACACTGAGCTGTGTGCTGAATATTCACTGCACGTGTTTGCAGCCATGTCTAGATAATACTACTTTTTAAAATGTTTGTGTTGTGGTAGTGCATGGTAGGAGTCTGTTCTGCCTGAGGACTATACAGAGTACAACTTTTGCAGCCCTCCAGAAGTTGCTCCTCTTACGGAGCACTTAAATTTTTTTGCTCATTGGTGTTTATTCTATACTTGATCACGGTCATGAGGGAGCATCTTTATTTAGAGATGAACATAAATAGTACTGCTCAGATGCTTACCTTCCCACCCCTTCCCAGGAAGCACTGGCAACACACAGGCATGCATTATAGGCCTGCTGTCCAGAATATGTTTGTGAGAACTTCTTATTAAAGTACTGGCAATGTTATTGCTGGATCTACCCCTGAAGTGGGAGGAACATCAAGCTGCAGTGAAGTAATTCACAGATCTGATGCAATCTCTAATTAATTTCTACATACCTCTGCGCCCATGGAAATCAGGCAGAGGTTAGGGTTGTAGCAGTGGGTAAAACTTGGTCCAGAGTTTATAAAACATTAGAATCCTCTGGGAAGAGATGCTCTATTAAAGGAAAACATTATCATGATTATATATTATTAATAACAATGTAATTTCTGTCCTGTAATATTGAGTTTAAATTTGACCTAACAGCAGTGACTTTCAGCAGAACATGCTCCTTCACTTGGAAGGCAGATGACTTTGCAGCATATTAAATGTGAATTATGGTCATCTTATTGCAAAAGAAGTCAGATGAAGTGCTGTCTGTCTTTAATCAGCAGAGCTAGCAAAGGCTATGATGCCTTTTTTTTACATTTATTAGAAAGTCAGTTCAAAGACTCTGCT